GGTTTAGTGCTTTAGGAGTATTATTGAATACCGAAATTGAATTTTACTATTGTAATTTGAGTTGGGTGCATTTTTGAATGCTCAAGTTACAAAAAAAAAATAAATTGGGTGCATTATAATAGATTCTGATAGATTCACGGCAATCAAACATGGGTTTACTAATCAAAATCAACATTTTCATGATTATCCATTGATTAGGATTTGATAATATATATTCAAGTAATGTTTGTATATATGGGGATAAGCTTTTAAATCTTAAATATAAATTTTGTAAATTAAAATTTAATGTATAAATTTTTAGTTTTTCTTATATTAAACATTTCATAAGTTAATTTTATGCTTAATGAAGTTTTATTTTTATTGAGCTAAACTATTAGTATTTAGAGTTTATGGATAGAAAACTTCTTAATACTCTAAATACTAATAGTTCTAGCAGAAGTCTTCTGGAATGTTAGATAACTTTAGAGTTTAGAGATTTCTTCAGAACTGCTAAATTATAATGCATTGACAGAGTGCTTGAAAAGTTTGTTAAACTGTAATGTAGTTGAAGACTTCTTGAGATGTTTTCTATAAGAAATTGGTAACTTAATTGAATTTTTGTATCTTTATATAATTTTTTTTATACATTATCATGTTTTTCTCTCAAATGACTGCAACAAAATGTAATGTGCCTGTTTATAAATTATTCTAACTTCTCTCTAATCTCTTTGAACTTGAAAATACCAAAATTTAAGTCAATTTTTTTTATCTTTGTCTTATGTTTTTCCCACCATTTTATCTTATTTTAAAGGTTTTTCATTACAAAATTTTCATCTTCTCCGTTTAAAAGGTAGATTTATAAATTTTGATGTATATTTTTGTGGGTTTTGTTTTTAGATTCGAACAAAACCATAGATTCAATCAAATGTGATTGTTTTGTTTATTATTTAAACATAAAATTTTTATTTTTAAAATTTTTATATGTTTTGAAGCTATTTTTCATATTTTTGGATATGTATTTTTTAAGATTTGAGAAAAATATATCGAACTTGGATTTCATTAGCAGATTTCTGGAGAAGTCTACTAAACTAAAAGCTTGTGATGCATTAAGAGATATCTGTAAATGTCTGCTATGCAAACTGTTAAAATTGGTAAGATTTTCTTTTTTTACCATCAACTATTATTGTGGTTTTTTTGTATTAAGTCCAAATAAATTTATTAATTCAACTTAATTTATTTGTATTTTATTATTATAGGTTAAAATTGTATTTTTCTTTGTTTAAATTTTTTCCTCTAAAAGGGTAAAATATAGCCCTTTAAATTTTGACATATTTGTTTTTTAACTAAATAAAAATGTAAATTAAAATTCCTTATGATCATATATGTTTTGTTATTATTTTAGTTGTAAAAGTTTTGGTTTCAAACAAATATAAAGTACATTTTTGTGTGTGTGTGTGAGATTCAAATAAAACACACACACATACACACACACACACACACATATACATATATATATATATATTTTAAATTTATTTTAATTATTTTCTTCTTATTTAATCTAAAGTTCTATTGTTTTAGGTTTTTCTCTATTTTGCAACCATTTTTAACGTTTTGAGATATGCAAATTTTAGGTATGAGGACTATATATCAAACTTTATAAGTATAGTACTTTAGAAATCTTTTAATTTGTGGTCAATTTTGATTGAAGATTGTTATATTTCACATAGGGTTAGAGACTTCTTCGAGCAGATTATTAAATTATAGTGAAATTGCACTCCATACACTCCAGTAAGTGGAAAATTAGGAGAATATCCGAAGAAACTGTTTGACACGGTTTACAGTGTCTAAAGAACACTGGTGCCCCTATGGTTATCCTAAGAACTAAAAGATTACAAAATCTATTGTTAAAGATTTTGTAAGATATGGATATCCATCATATCTGATGTCAGAGAGGAGATATAGGTTAATAGGTTTGCAATTTAAAATTTGAAATCTTCTGATTGGGAGATTCTTCTTCAAAACCACTCTCCATTTGTAAAATCATCCCCCTCTCGGATCGTGCTCAACTAGACGGAACATGTCCAGATCCGGTGGCCTTTTGATGTATTTCTCTCCTCTCGTCGGCGAATCGGAGTTTCAAGCATTCTTTCACCGGTGACTTGACGTCTTGTTCTCCATTGGAAGTATGTCTTTTGCTCAAGGGAGGTGGGGATCTGTGTTTGTCGGAGAGTGCGCGGTGGGTGAAGCGGCTGTGTGGTTTTTTCACCTCTGTGGTTTTGCGTTTGCAACCAAGGTTTGGAGTTCTTAGTTCTGTCGTCTATGGCTGATACACTTACTCTTCTCTGGTGTTTGCTTTCCCTCATTTTATTTCTAAAATTTGATTAATTTTTATTATTAAGTTAAGTTGGTTAAATTTATTTCGATCTGATTTTTTTTTCTTGATAGGATGATAACATGGCAGATGATGATGAGTATGAAGAAAAGCTGAAGACAAAGGATGAATCTTTCATCTTCTTATCCACGTCTTATATTGTTATCTCATAGTTTTTCATTTGTTCTATTTGCATTGACCGAAGTTAGACATTAACTTCTGGAGAATATCAAACTGTGTATTTGTGTTGGGATATCTCTATTCATTGACACATAATCAACATAGACAGCAAGCCTCATATAACAATATTTTCATACCTTTACATATCTTTGATTTGAAATAGCCTTGGAGATTTATTGTGATGCGGCTAATATATCTAATAACAAATAACAATTTATATATCCTTCATATAATTAAAACAATTTATCTTTCGATTTAAAACTTTATTATTAGACATGTAAACATATGTAAGTGTATCAGCCATATATAATGTAAATTTACTGAATTAGCCGGTTATCAGCTTTATACTATTTATCGGATATGGAAACTTATTAGATTAGCCGGTTAGGACACAATACAGACAAAAACTTATTAGATTAGCCGGTAAAGTCACAACATATACAATAAATTATTGGATTATCCGGTTATAATACATCAGATACAAAAACTAAATAGATTAGCCGGTTATCATATTGGACGGTTAGCAAGGTAAGTAATGTATTGGACGGTTATCATATCATGTATCCAAAAGTCTAAGACTAAGTCACATTTTAGCAAGATAATTAAACTATTACACGGTTAGCAAGCTAAGTAATATATTGGACGGGTATCATATCATGTATCAAGACCACCATAAAATCCACTCCGGATACTGTGCCTTTTTCTTCTCAAGACATCCCAAGCTAAAAAGGATCAACAGCTCAGATCTAGCACAAGCTACAGTGCCGAGACGCCATCGGACTCCACCAAAGCCAATCCCAGCGTCGCTGCAAGAATGACCACCAAAGAACTCTTTGATTTAGAGCTTTGGCTTGTTGAGATTCACGACCACCAAGCCTAAAGACCATACAACTTAATTACAAGCGAAGAAGAAATAAAGGGAGCCAAATCGGCGGTGACACTAACATAGTCACCACACGCGTTCATCGGAAGAAACATAACCGCCGCTTAGAATGAGAACATGAGGGGTTGAGAGAGATGGGTTTTTTTGTCAGGAGAGAGAGAAAGAGCTTATTTTGTTTCGTCTCCAATATTGCTTGTATGTACTAAAATTTTAAGGGAAATCTTTTTAAATATTTTTTTCTGACATACATCTAAACCTAGACCTAAACACTAACGCCAACTTGCTATAGGGTTAAAGTCGTCATTTTGCCTATGGTTTTTCACTGTTTAGCCCTATGTTTTATTGTAATAGGTAGTTAGCTAATATTCAACTTATTTTTGTATATTGAGCTAATTAACTCTAAACTATAATGCACTAGCAGACTTTCCAAAAGTCTTTTATAGAAACTCTTGAATATTTTGGATAATGTGTTCGCAATTGTGTTTCACTTTCAGTTATTAGATATATAGTGAGAAAACATATATAAGATAGTCTTTTGTTGTGATAGTCTATATAATGTTGTAAACACCTACATTCTTTTTATCTCCAATTTATTAAAATAAATTTTGTCATTGTAATTACTTATTAAGATTATGGTTGTGTAACTTATAGGGTAGGCTTTTGTGTTGTCCCTTTATCAATTTTGTGTAATTTAGATGATAATGATGATGACAGATTATAGTTATCACACACAAATTTATAATAATATAATATTTGAAACAAATTCAACATAACAAAGTTCAAATATATCACACTTTTAATATTACACAAGTTCAAAAATAAATTAGGATTAAACATAAGACATCGAAAATTTTAACAAATATTTCTTCATCAAACTTATATAGTAATCTTTTATAATTGAACCAATCTGCAAAAAAAAAATTGACACTAAACACACATTGAACAAATATAAAATCATCTTTGAAAAAAATTATCAGAAAACTCTGGTCTCATTGCTCTCATTACCTAGATACATACATAAAAAGAATATTGTTAATCTCATCATTACATATAATAAAACTATAAAATTCATTCGTATGATCCAAAGTTAATAAATACACATGAAGGAACAAGAAAAATCTTCAAAAATCATATTTTAAATTTGGAGAAAACACAAGTTTACTAAAATTATCAGAGAACAATTTTGAAAATTCAACTCACAACAAACTTCTTCAGAAGTCTCTTGTTTAGGTTATTTTTGTAATTACAAATTAACTATGAAAACCTTCTCAAGAAATCTGTTCAGTTAGCAGATTCTTGAAAAATCGTCATTTATAAATTATTGGGTTATTTTTGTATTTGGATAAATTTTTAGTTTTACAAGATCAGATTTCTCTAAAATTAAGAATGGTATAAGTTAGCTAGGTCCTTTTATCGTAAGCTTTTGTATGTTAGTTGTTCTGTTCCGGTCTGGTTACCCAAACCACCTCAAGTCGTTTGAGTAATAGAACAGCCGTTTGACGTCAAAAAAAAAAAAAAAAAAAAAAAAAAAATCTCACAAAACAAACAAATTAATTAATCTCACTCAACCTTCTTTTTGTCTTCAAGATGGCCTCTAAAATTATTGCCATTATACTCGCCGTCAACATTGTTTTCTTCACAATGGCTAACGCTGTTGTTTGTCCCGATGACGAAATTCTGATTCCCGCATGTGCTTATCTGTTGCTTTTGGCAAATGTCGAGATGAGTATAGAACTATCACCGTCTCCCAAACCATGTTGCGACGCTATTGCCGGTCTCACAAACGCAATTGCAGGCGCTTGCCTTTGTGACGCGAATTTGGATAATTCCCTCCACCTTGCTAACGTTTCCGTGGCAGTCACCGCGGCACTGAAAAAATGTGGCCATCAATCGGATATTAAATGCTCCAACTGAAACAATTTGCCTTCTGACACTTAAGTTTTTTTTTCTCCACCAAGCAAGTGTGCTATTTGTTGTTTGTTCTCCTGTGAGTTGTTTCAGATGAGGTCATGCAGAAGGTTTCTGCATGCTACTCATTTTAAAAATTATCATTTCTGTTTGAATAATTTTGTTGTAACGTGTCTTCCATTTTCCTTCAGTTCAAACCTTTTAATAACCATAATGATTAAGTTGTTCAGAGAGCTAATGGCTCGCATCCCACGAATGATAATTATATGAAGGTGGTAACTCTTTTGTCCAAAAAAGGCGGTAACTGGTTGCTGATGAAAAAAATAAATGGAATAGAAGGAATAATAACTAATGGAACTGTAGAACTCTTTTCACCTGGAATATATATTTTAAAGGAGAATTGACAAAATGGGAGACGCTCAATTTAGATTTGTCCCACTAAGACTTTTGAAATTTTAGGTCACTTTTGAACATGTTTTATTCTTTTGTAGTGCAAAAAATAGTACTTTGCATTTTAAATTTTTTTTTTAAATATGCAAACTATTAAAAACATAAGTAAAGACTATTTGTATGTATTTTTCTTTAATATAAATTGTGTGACCATATTTTATTTCATTTCCTACATAAACATAGAATACTAATTCTGACAATCCACTTAATTTAGAACTTGAATACAAAGTACATTACAATTATCTAACTTGGGTATAAAACATAAAAAAAAAAATTCTTATACATTCTACCCTAGGTAGAATTTGTGTGGTTGCCTTATAGCCAGATATCGGTGGTCTACATCTACTTCGAATACATGTTCTATATTTTACTCTAGGGCATAACTTAAGTTATTTATGTTTCATAACATATTCTAGCTATAATCTTAGAGTCTGCTTGAGGTAGAATATTTATATCCCACTGGTTATTCATCATTCTAATCTAGATAGATTTATGTATTTTATCTAATTAACGAAAATATGTAAGTTTCCATATTTTAGTTATTATCTTTCCTAAATCTGCAGTTAATTTTGCACAATATATTTTTTCCCATGTTTTTTTTCCCCACGATCTTTCTCTTTTGTTTTCTGTTTCTATTTCTTCTTCATCCATCTCACCATCTTTTCTCTTTATCCACACAAACATGATTCTTATCTATGTTAAATCGGGTGTATGGAAGCTCGTTGCAGTGAGCAGTGGAGTCTCGTGGTCGACAAGGAAAGGTGTGTTCGAATGGTAACATTGGAGATTAATACTCTGTTGGAGCAGCTGAAGATCACAAAAGGTCGTGAGCTTGTTGAAACATCGCCATAGAGATCAATGATCTTTTTGTCAATAGAACATATTTTATTTTTCTGTATCAATGAACAAAGAAAAACAGTTTATCAATCTTTGTTATCTCTTATGTGTAATTTTGTAGCAAGGATTGTTATTTATGCACAATGTTTACTAAAACATCAACGAAATTACATTATTGGTTTAACTTCGTCAGTTTAGTTAACAACAAGAGGAAAATGTTGCTGGCTCTTGTAATAAACACAAATATACAATTGTAATTCACTTCGGAAAAATGGTACAAAGTGTTAAATCAAAGCATAGAAAGATCTTCGGAGCTTGAAATGTTCCAGCTTATCTCTGCTTCAAACATCAAGGCTATACACAACTTAACCTCATGAAAAAATCGAGTGAAAGGAAAAGAAGCTGAGCAACCTGCATACATTACAAGTTAAAAATATAAACAGGGACCTCCTTCATATACAGTCTAGAAAGCATATTACATTGGCTAAAAGTTTGGAGTCTAGACAAAATATTAGGCTATAACAAAACAACCCTTCATATCTTTGTTCTTGGATGCAATCACTAGACTTAACATTTCATATACAAATCGGAAAGAGAATAATCCTCTGAGGTAGTGACAATTGTGATTATATTGATCACTATAAAAATCTGATGTAAACACATCAATGGATATACATCATAGGCACAATTAACATTCATCAGCTAAAAAGAAAGCTTTAATAACTAATTTTAGGTTTAAGAAAGTGCATCAGAGAAATTCCTATTTAGACATTAATCATTGTCCTTCTCTGTAAGAACAATTTGACTTTCCTGTCTTTTTATAGTCAATATGCATGTCTTAATCGTGTAGGTGATGACTAATTGACCCTTAGAACTAATTATAATTGAAAAGAGATACAGTCAACTCTTAAAAATTAAGGTTTTAAGAATCCAGAGGATGAAACACATAATGTGTGTAAGAAATCACATGATTTTGACAAAATTGATGAAAAAGAAAAAGTACATAACTAAGTCGGCCAGATCGAGAAGCGACGAAAAACAAATACGAGGAAGAAGAAACATATTGAAGAAAAGACATAGAATAAGAGACAAAGAAGAGGAAATATAGAACATAAACGATAGATTTTAACTATGGGAAGAAGAAATCACCATGGAAAGAGCGGAGTAAGCATCCGTCTGAAAAGTGGAGAAGATGAGAGAAGGAAATTAAGATACTTAGGTTTATTGTGCTTTGCTTGTTTTTCTTATTTTTACCTTTTTTTTACTTACAAAATTATATTAATAAACAATTAAAAATTATTATATTTTTAATTAGGTTAAATTTTTGTTAATCTAAGGGCATAATCGTACTAACATTAATTAAAATTTTAGTGGGACCAAAGTCTTAGTGGAACAAATCTAAGTTGAAAAATGTTCCGTTTTGTCAATTTTTGGTTTTTAAAATGAATGTTATCTTTTGGGATGACATATAATAATATGGAAGGAAATTGAATATCATTTCCATCTTTTTTATTTGCAACTGGTGAATATTTTGTGGTTAAAAATAAATTAAGCAGTCATAAAGATTTGGGAAAATTGGAAAAAAGAGACATCTTAAACTAGGATTTGAGAAAATAAGATTTATAAAGATTTTTAAGTTAACTAGGATTTATATTTTTTTAAATAACATTATACACCTTAATTTAAAATTTGGAAATATGTTCATATCAATGGATCTAATACACTTATTTCCATTACAACTCCATAAACACTGACACCGTCTCAACACCATTAACTCCGTCTCGTACGCCTTCTACTCCCAAAACGTCTCTTTCGCCACCTACACGTTCTCCTCCGCCTCCAACTGCAAAAAAAAAGCTCCATCTCCATCTTCGCTACCGCCAACACAGTCTCTTCCTCCTCCAATTCCCAAGAAAACTCCATCTCCGTCCCCACCAACACCGTCTCCACCCCTTCCAACTCCGTCTCCACCACCGCCAACTCTCGTGAAAGCTCCATCTCCACCACCGCCAACACTGTCGCCTCCTCCTCCAACTCCCAAAATAACTCCATCTCCACCACAACCAACACCATCACCTCCTCCTCCAACTCCCAAGATAACTCCATCTCCACCTTCGCCAACACCATCGCCTCCTCTTCCAACTCCCAAGAAGTCTCCGTCTCCACGCCACCAACACCATCTCTTCCACCTCCAACTCACAAGAAGTCTATGTCTACAATATCTTCAACACCATCTCTTCCACCTCCAACTCCCAAGAAGTCTCCGTCTCCGTCTCCACCAACACCATTTTTTCCTCCTCCAACTCCCAAGAAATCTCCATCTCCTTCACCGCCAAGTGATCATGATGAGTCATCATCTCCTAGCCAGCCATCAAACTCACCTCCAGAATATCATCATGAGTATCCATTAGATCACATTGGACGTTGTTACAGTAACATGAGACGTGTTGGGTTTTTTCGGGGAGAGATGGCGTACAATTTCTACACGAGGTTGTTTAAAGTCAGCAAGTATTGTTGCAATCTTATCGTCAACATGAAAAACGAATGTGACGATGTTATTTGGGTATACTTCCACGATCCTCTCTTTGTTCCTCTTGTTTGTTGCACTTGTCACGTCACCTTTCTTGTTCATTATTATTTTTCTTAGTTAGTGTATTATTTATTTATTTTTATTTAACGATTGATTTGTTCTTGTTTGAGTTCTTTTAATCATGACAATATTGTTGTCGTCTTATCTTATGGACGACTCTTTTGCTATAACGTTTTAATTAATTAATAACATGGTTTTCTTTAATTGTCTTCCTAGCTTGTTTTTAATTTGGTTCACTGTGAGAGATAAATAGTTACCAATATATAAATCGCAGTGAGAAGATTTTTTTTAACTTAAAAAGGATATTTCCTACTGTTGTAAAGTATCGCTTCCGATTTAGCTATAATATGTACTCTACATAAAGTAGAGTAATGAAAGAAGGGTCGGTTATTTATTCTATCTTAGGCGTATGATAATATAAAATGTAGAACAAGTTATAACACATAATCAAAATTGGGTAGTCCTTAGAGTCGCGGTTATAAGTCGGAGTTATGCTTAAAATAGACTAAAGACATCTTGTTAGAATACAACTTCACGAAATCTACCAAAGATAAAATACAGAAGAAAGTTTTGTTTGTGTTCTGTACCTAAGATAGAGCTATGTGTACAACCTATTATTTGATTCCTAGACGAAATAGATAGTTAAAATGAGTAATCTATCCTTGCTATAACATTAAATAAAACATGACTCCACAATTTTTTTTAAAAAAATTTAAACATATAATTACTCATACTAACATTTACTCATACTTTCATATTTTTTTATATTTTTAAAACTTAGTTTACTATTTTTTCAATTACAAAAGGGTAAATAGGTCCAAATTGTCCAAAAGTATCAAAAATCCTATTTGGCCAAATAAATATTCACAGTGTCTCGTTTTTCCAATTCTCCCTAAAGATTTTCACTAGAATAAAATAAGACGATTCCCAACAGAATTTATGAAGAAAAAAATCTTTGGAAATGCAAACCAGAAAAATTGTGGGGAATCCATCGAGAATTTCTTGAAGAAAACCCAAAGAAAAAATATATGTTACATAACCGTTGGGATTTCTGACAAATTCACGACAGATAACATGATTTACCACAACTTATAACATGATTCGAATAGAAACATGCTTAACCACCAGAGCAAATATCCATTGTAATTCACTCATTCAACATGTGTAAACCCTTTAGCTACAAGCTTTGCTTTATACCTATGATCTTCCACTCGTGGAATACCCTCTTCAGCTTGTAAATCCATTTACATCTGACTATCCTCTACTTTTTCTGGCTTTGGAACAATCTCATAAGTATCATTCTCATCCAGAGATTGTTTCTCTTCTCCCATAGCATGGTTTCACTTATCCCAATCTCTACTTCTTCTAGCTTCTGCTAGTGACTTTGGTTCATCTATTTCTAAGCTTTCTATTGTTGACAAAGCATAATCTACAAAATCAGATTTTTCAAACCTCGATGATGGTTTGGTGACTCTTATTTCTCTGTCTCTTGTGAGTTACTCATCAAAAGACTCATGATCATTCTGATTTTCATCATTATCTTCTTCCTCAGGTTCTTTTTCTTCTTCTGATTCAGTTTCTAATTATGAATTTCCTGAAGTATCTCCACCTTAACCAGTAGATTCCCCACTTCCTAAAGCTTATTCACTTTGACTGGTTGACTCTTAAACTGAACTACTTGTAGTCGGTCCTTGAATCAGCTCAGTGCTAAAAGTGACTTTCTTCTTCTTCTTGGATTTAGTTGCTTTCATCTGATCTTGATCTTTATACAGTTTCTCTTCATCAAAGACTAAATTTCTGCTGATAGTACATTTTCACTCTTCTGGTAATTACTCCTTCACTAAAAGAATATCGATTATTCGTAGCACACCAGTATAGCGTTTTTGTGTTTTTGCTATGTTTTACGACACGCGTTTTTTTCATAGCGTTTTTTTTTAATGAAACGCTATCTTTAATTTAGGCGGAAATTAAAATTTGATACGCGGCTTATTTTTTTAGCTAAATGTTTTTCGCGGTTACTTTTTGATAGCAAAACAAAATTAAAAGTGTTATGTAAACCAATACGCGGGATTTTTACACCTAAAATTTTAGTTTCCCACACAAAAAAAATTCTAAGGCAAAAAAGTGCCCTTCCACCCTCTCACCTCAGTTCTATCGAAACCTCTCGACTCTCTCTCAAATCCACCTCTCTGTTTGATCGAAATAAACTCAAAATCCTCACTCCCCCTCTCTGTTTGATTCACAATCTCTTTCATTCCTTAGCTGTCGAAGGAGTCATCTCGTTTCCCCAATCACGAGTAAGATTAATCGATCTAGGGGTCTTCGAGTTTGTCCTCAATTTTCGAATTGAGTTAGGGTTTCAGTCTGTTTCTAATTTATTTAGGGTTTTCATCTATTAGATCTACAGTTTTCATCTTTTAGATCTATTAGATCTACAGTTTTCATCTATTAGGGTTCTTCAA